GCGTGTCAAGCCTTAAGAGGAAGGCTTGTCATTTGCTACAGTGAATAATACATAAGCACACTATTTATGAGCAGACATCCTTTCCTAAAATTGGTGGACAAAGAGTCGACTAATCGGCTCCGTACCGTACTAACTTCTGTAAGGGTATGGGTTTTGTTCTTTGTGTGCATAAGGACAAGACAACAACAATCATGCTAAGCAAGCTTCCTTTGAACGCTGAATGCTGGAATGACCTGAAGGTCTCATCATCATTCCCTGAAGCTTGAGCAGTCTTCATACATGTGTAGACATGCTTGTTATCACTGAATACCGCTTCAGATCACGTACTCGCCGATCYYTAATCTTCAGTTTYAGTCTTCGACGTTTGCTGAAGGTTCTTTGGTGTGAGTGTTGTCTTCTTGAAGTATTGCTGTCTCTGATAGATTTACAATGCAAGTTCTTCAGCGATCTCTGAACATACTTAGTGAATATCGTTGGAACTGAAAATACAGAAACACAAATACAACGTGAAAGATAAAAGGGATTATCATCAAATCACTGTGAGAGAGGATCAACAATCTCCCCCTATTTGATGATAACAAGATAGCATAAAGAAGGTTATCTTATCAAATAATAGTAAGAAAAAAGTTACATATAAAATACATGTTCCTTTTTACTATTTTGGGATCTTTTTCAGTTTGGTCAGTCTCAGCTTGATAATTTTTTTCTTAAGTTATATCCAAGAAAATTACAAGTACGGAAACTGAAAGCTTATTCACTAAGGTAGATTGTCAGTGAATGTGAAAAGTAACACTGGAACTCATAGACTTGTATCCCTATTACTTTTTTCAGGGATCTTTTTCAGTGAAGTACATGAAATACTCATTTTATTAATCATAGAAAATAATACAAGTATTACAGTACATGTTCAGAACTTACAGAATGTAAGAACAATCAATGAAAGAAGACATAGTACAAGAATTTACAAGAAAAAGTAGATTGTTGTTACAAAGAGAACCTTATTCTAGAACATTTAGATCT